CCAGTCATCAGTCATCAGTCGGTTTGTCGAGCAGCCAAGCTGAAGTCGAGAAGGGAAGTATGACTGTGGCCGAGGCTTCAGCGATGGCCATCATGCTTGATGGAATTGCCAAAGCTAAACCTCAGCTCCGCCCATCTGCGATGGCGCAGCTCCAGGAAACTTGTCACCGCAATCTACTCTTCGGAGGCTGGGAGGAGGAAGCTCATCCATCCCTTTGCGGGCAGCAGTATCGTTCCTTCACCTCACCGCACACCTCATGCGCTTGACTTCGCCAATGGCATGGACGAGAGAAAATCGTGGCGTCTTCGAGGGTCATTAGGGCAGACGACTGTGTCCGAGGTTAGCTGCGGGAACCAGAGACGAGGTTTCGCACTACTCCAGATCGTGGGGACGAACGCAGCGTTGAGATTGCGGAGAGAGTGGGTTGTTCGAGGGACTTCCGCGGCTTCAGTTCCAAAACAGTCTGTGCACCGGGTCATCTACTGAGTAGGGAGTAGTACCACCATCGTATGATCCGCTTGTGATGCTGGGCACAAAGATGCTGCTCGGCTGTAGCCAGTCAATGTATAGAGTACAGTAATTCGGTGGGTTGCAACTGGTGATCTCGGCATGCGACGCCCAAAGTCAAAGGCCCACCACTCCCCGGGCTCCCCGGGCTCCCCAGGCTTCTGGGAGAGTGCCCACGTGCCCAGAAGCCCCCAACCCCGCACTTTAGCCTCCCCTGGAGAGCGTCTCGCCCCCAAACCCCAGGTTCATCTTTCCCTCGCAAGCTCCACTTCTCTTGACTTCGCTTCGCTGGTTATGCTTACAGTAGCTGCAATGCTTTCATGCGCTTGTCTTTCAAGCTTCAATTCTTGCTCTAGGCCTCTTAATCGATTCACAAGTTCTTAATTCTCCCTGCGCCCATGATGCAGGACCGACGGCGGCATCAGCAGTTGATTGCTTGTGCCCACAGAGATACGACTGCACCGAGGAGCAAGCTGAGACAATCGCACCATCGGCGCGCTCGGGCGGTCACCCAGCGGTGGCGTGGACAAAGCCATTACTCGATCTGAATAGGTCCCAAGAACTCGGGGACTCTACTGGGTCCAAGATGAACGTTTTGTCCAGATGCCGTACTGGGGTACACAGGACCAACAGTCGTTCTCCGCCAGCATCGGGATATCGACGCCGACCGCCATAATGCCATTACAGTACCCAACCTCACGGCGCAGCCAGGCTACTGCTAGTCTCGCAGTAATTGACTCTCCCTGACTAACGGTGACACTTTTCCAGATCCCTCTCTCTGCTTCCCAACCCTCGTCTCGCCTCCGCCCCAGCATATAACGTGGCGGCAATGGCCCTGCCCACTCCAATCCAGCCAGTCTTGTGTCGGAACCGAAATCATCATTGCCGCCACCCACTGTCCAAGACGCTAAGCCATGCGATCAAATCAGTCCACGTCTCCGGCTGGAAATCTGCTCCTTGTGCAGATACTGTGTAACTGCCAATTACTGCTTTCGATCGACCTCCACGCATCCATATCCCTTAGCGTCGCGACAAGCCCTCGCTGCCGGTGGGTTAACGCCGTAGCTCAAAGACTGGCTCTGGAGCCAAAGCATCTACCCCATGTTGTTGTTGTTCATCCTCCGTTCTGCATGGGTCTCGACCTCTGTTTCGCTTGTCGCCACAAGCTCAATCCATCGCCATGTCGACGAAAAGAGGGTTGGTGCTACTTGCCAACCCAAGTACGACGCGACCGTACCGACTCATGTCCCTCCACTCCAGACATACTTCAGTCGCTCTTTTCCCCTTCAACTCTTTTCTTGCCCACCCGCCGTCCAGACATTGCTGCTTTTCCCACTGACCCTTGCGGTCTCCTATCGCATTGACTCGTGCCCGTGCCCTTCTTCCCGTGCTCGCCCTGCTTTGAACCCATCATGACTGCACAAGAAGATAGCTCCAGCGACAATGTGGCGCACTCACCTACGCTCGAAAAAGATCCATCCCACCATGTCGAACAAGTCCACACCAATGAGCGGGTTCCAGGTCATCCCGGCTACTACGAGAAAGATGGCCTGCGAACATATGGCGACGATGAGGACCACGACCATGAACCGCCTGTAAGTCCGCCCGATGTCCCGCCCGCCTCATACAGGAGACATACCGGCCGTGACTGACCTTCGTCGTGTATAGATGACGGTGCATAGAGCACTCAGCTTGGTCGCCATGGCATTCTTGTGGACCGGTTCTCAGATCCCTGTCTATCTCTTCGGAGGCGTGCCGCCTTATATATATTCCGACATTGGCGGCGTTGATCGATGGATCTGGTTTGTCCTGGCTTACCTTCTGGCACTGGCCGCCATCTGTCCTTTTGTCGGGTCCATCTCAGACCTCATCGGCAGACGATGGGTGGCACTCGGTGGTTCTGGCTTGCTCGTCATTGCCATGATTATCTGTAGTGTGGCGAAGAACATGAACGTGTTCATCGGTAAGGGGGATCCCATCTTATTCTCTCTCTCGCTCCAGATTTGCTGACTCTTCTGTGCTCCAGTGGGCATGACTTTCTCAGGCGTGGGCGCCGGCATTTGCGAACTGACTTCCCTCGCCGTCACGGCCGAACTTGCACCGACGAGAAAGCGCGGCAAATACGTGGCCATCCTCGTTTTCACCATCATCCCATTCTGCCCGTCCGTTTTGTGGGGTCAACTGATCGCCTACTATTCCAGCTGGCGGTACATCGGCCTCTTCTCCGGGCTGTGGGCGTGCATCGGATTTGTCGGGACTCTGATCTTCTACTTCCCCCCGCCTCGACCCAACTCGCGCGGTCTCACCAAGAAAGAGATCATTGGGGAGATCGATTTCGTGGGCGGCGCGCTCTCAATCAGCGGCATGATCCTCTTCCTCGCCGGTCTGCAGTGGGGCGGATACCAGTACCCATGGCGTTCGGCCCACGTGCTGGCCCCTTTGTTGATCGGCGCCCTGCTGCTCCTCGTTGCCTTCCCCATATGGGAAATCAAATTCGCAAAGTTCCCCATGTTCCCCTCGAGGATGAAGAAGGAAGCCAGGATCCTCACCTTGACGTTGATCATCACGGCGATTTCCGGCGCAAACTTCTTCTCCGTCATCATGTTCTGGCCGACCCAGGCGTTCAACGTGTATGGCCACGATCCCATCGGCGTCGGCGTCCGCGGCATCCCCATCGGCTTCAGCATCCTCACGGGCGCATGCGTCGTGCTCTGGCTCTTGTCCGTCTTCCGCGGCCACAACCGCGAGTTGATGATCATCTCCTCGGTGCTCATGACTGCGGGCTGCGGCGCGCTCGCCGTCGCAGACCGCCACAACCTCTCCACGCTCTGGGGACTGTTGATACTCGGGGGCCTGGGGATCGGCGGCATCGTCGTCCCCGCGTCCATCATGACGACGATCATCTGTCCCGACGACATCATCGCCACGGTCGCGGCGCTGACGCTGTCCATCCGCGTCATCGGCGGCTGCATCGGCTACACGGTCTACTATAACGTGTTTGTCAACAAATTTGTGCCCAACGCCACCAAATACATCGGCGGCACCATGGCCGTGCAGCTCAACATCACCAACGTCACGTACATCACCGAGGCGATCGAATACACGGCCGCCTCGCTTCTGCCGCTGTTGAGGACCATCCCCGGCATCGAGGGCAACGACACGGCGTACGACATGGTGGTGCTGGCCGGGCAGATCGCCTACGCCAAGTCGTACAAGTACGTGTACCTGACCAGTATTGCCTTTGGAGGCATCTCCATCCTGGCCAGTGTCTTCCTGGGCAACATCAACAAGTACATGGATGATCATGTTGCCGTGGTTATGCATTAAGCGGGGCGGAACTGAGCTGAGCGGAGCGAAGTGGCCGTCGTATATAGCAAAGTCGATAGTTTCCATCGAACAGAATGAAGGCACATAATCCCAAGTATGTCTTCTCCCGTTGTTCCTAGATACGCTCTCCAGTCCGAGTATGTTCAGACATGTGCAGTATTTGGTACAGTACAGGCGAAGATAAAGATCCAGGTCCAGATCCAGACCAGAACGCACCTTGACTGCCGGACTGCCGGACTGCGGACTGCCTGATGGATGCCTTTGTCATGTTCCAACTCGCCGGTAGAGTATTGCCTGCCTCCTACACGACGCGATTTTGCAGTAGTTCCGCACTCGCAGGACGACATTGAGTTGGGATGATAGCGGGAGGACGTGGTATCCGGACAAGTAGCTCTATGTAGGACACATGGCGCAGTGAGGAAAGGTGAAAAGGTAAGTAATTACAGTAATTAATTACAGTAGACAAGGATGCGACAGACTGACCATTAGGTATTCGTAGCAAGACAGATGGATCCGGTTGAAGAAATAAAGTAACCTCAGAAAGCAGCACTCATATACTCCGTACTGTGTAAAATACATATGCAAATGTTACTTAGGTAGGTAGTAGGATATGTATCTGAGTCGGCGTCTGGGCCCGAACTTGTATTTTATGCTACTGTATGCCGAGGCTCACACTCGCATCTGCGACGTATTTCCTTCAGGACCTCTTCTCAGCCAGCCCTAATTAATCAAAATTGAGCCCGAAGCTCCGAAACCAATGGGTCGGCATTGTAGAAAAGACCACGGGGTCCGGAGAGCCGGGACATGAGATTGCCCTGAGCGGGCCGGGCGGAGTAATATTCAGACCGACGACGGTATAGATGTCGTTATGCGGCTGAGACAGTCCCGGTGGGAGTCACGGTAAAAATCGCGCCGTCTCGGTAAAGTTGTTGAGCATGGCGCATCTCATGGATTCTCTATGACTTTCGAGGTCGGGCTAGTCTGGTCTGGAAGAGGGTTTGAAGCATCAGCAAGTTTGACATGTTCAGAGGTTCTCTGAGACATTATAGACGTGGAAAGTCATCGTCACAGTAGCTGCGCGACAATCTGCAGAAGCGGCTGTCAAGTTCTTTCCGCGAGTCCTGACGATTACGGTTGTGGTCGGTCGGTCGATTGGCGCAGATGGGCTAGAGATCCATCTTGCTCAACCCACTCAGATCAAGTTCTGCCAACGTTTCTCCGCCAATATCGTCATCGTCATCTTCCGTCCTCTCGCTGGCGTTCGCCTGTGCATCGGCATCGGGGAACCAAAGTCTGGCACTTCCATATGATATACACAACTCTTCCCCGGCCTTGATGTCCCGGAGTGTGGTGTAGACAATCACTTCGGTCTCGGTGTTGCGTATCCACCCGACGTTCTGATCCCGAGTCGAGTGATTGAACATGGATCCCAAGCCGAGGGCGAGGGCTTGGGTCATTGTGCGGCCGGATGCGGATGGCCAGTAGCTATCGACAAATAATGGTAAGCGATGTGGTGATGGACAGGGCAGGCGTTGGGTTGGATACGCGGACAGTCATTGTGCTCGTCTTCGCCCGGCCTGATGGAACTCACTAAGTGTAATGCTGCAAAACGGTATGCTGAGTGTGATTCTCCACTTCATCTTCGGAGAAGACCAGCACAGGACTGACTTCCACTACTGTACCCCTGGGGATGTGCTTAGTTGCAAAGACACCTCGGCCTAGAATTGTTGAAGAGCGGACACGTTAGGCCAGGTCAGTGTCAAAGGTACGTGGAATCCGAAGCACTGGCACTTGGGCTGTGGAGATAGCTTTGGATAGCAGCGTTGCACCCCCTCGCGACCGCGACAACAAGTCTTCACCTGCTCAACCAGGCCTACCTTTCGGCGTATTCATGACCAGCACGAGCCCGGCTGTCCTTGACAGAGGCTGGTCACCTTCGAAGACTGCGCCATAAGCGCCATTATCTGACATCTCAGCTTGCATGAAGTATGCCTTGCACCGCTGGGGAGCTGATCAAGAGGAATGGAGGGATGGTGTAGCCTGATGCGATGGGATTGAAGAAGAGTAGCTGTTGATGCGCACTGCAATGGACTGACTGTCCGATATTTTTCGTCAAATTCTGTGTCGCTGTCAAGACTGTGTAGACGAAATCGCGAACAAGTCCCAAAGAGGGAAAGCGCGAATATTACGTCACCGCGGCATTTTCCGCGCGTCGAGGGACAAGGTGGGCATCTCACACATCTTTCACCCATCACTCATCACTCAGGGTTCTGTACTGTTAATCGTTGCACAGTCACTACTGAGGTACAGCACGCATGCATCAAAGTAGCTGCCAGTTGTGCTGTATCGATGCCAGAATCATATGTCACAGAATGTTGTCAACTGTGAAACCTGCCTCAGCAAGCCCTTCGCCAGAGCACTGGTGCGAATTCCGATGAACACCACGACTTCCGCATCCTTGGGTGCAGATGCGAACAGGCTTCAATTGAGGACGAGAATCGAGGACGCCTAGACCCTCGTTGCGCGATTTCTGTGCTTGGGCATAATCAAACCATCACCTATAGTTATCTTTACCTCGTATTGCTGAGGCTGGGGCACTCCCACTCGTTCCGGATGCAGGTGTGCATCCGACGCCCTCCGCTGCTAGAAGCATCTAGCAAGAAGGCCACCCACCGACTCCGTGCTATCGCAAGCAATCAGAAGGACCATAGGACCACAGCCTTGCCCTTCAGCCTCGGGTCTGACACGCGTTGCATGCTGGCTAGTCCATTGCGTCTCATTGCTGACTATTCCCCGGACTTTTTCATCCTGGGTTCGCGCTAAGAAACCCTCCGATTGCTTAATGTGTGAGCATATGACTTTCTCACACATGGCAAGTCCGACGTCATTGCGAGATTTTTTCCCGCGTGAGCTCGAGCCCCCTGGCAGTCAGCACGAGACATAAGTATGGGCGAGCTGATCGTCTCAATAGGCGTTGTTCAGCATTCACATCTGACACTTCAATCACAGAGTGAAACTAGGGTCGATCACCCCAAGGAAAGCACCAAACAAGTCCACCTGGTATATCACACGTCAGCAAGCCTCAATTCGCGAACCAATAATCTCCATGGCTGAAGCATTCAACGGCCAAGTCCTCATGGACCAGCCCGCTGGCACCGGCAATCGACCGTACGCCGCCGAGTCCTGGCTCGAGCCATGGCTCATCAAGCACTCTGAGTTCTACCGCAAGCACTTCACCCGCGACGGCCGCCGCGAAAGCAAGTCCACCAGACGACACAGCATTGTCACTGAGGGTCTCGAGTCGAGGAAGAATTCAATCGCCATACCCGAGGCAGCCTCTGGCCATGGAAGTGAGCCTACCGCCGCCACCCCTGTTCCTGTTGAGCAACCGAGAACAAGTACTGAGGCTGAGGCTGCCGCTGTTGAGCACCCCGAGGCTCTCAACAAGAAAGATCGAGTCAGCGCCTGGCGCCGCAGCATTGGTTGGCTCCCTCACCCATAGATGTAGAGGCAGATCCTTGTCAGCACCACATGTATTATCAAGATCGATCGTCAGGGTCAGGAGAGGAATGAGAAGGTAGCCGAGGGTTTGAGTTGCGCGAATGATACCCAACTTTGCTTTGATCAGTGAATTGCAGCCACAGAAATTTGAGTAGTTTGAATGCAATTTTGTTGTATGTGCAAAAACAGTCGGCTCTGAATATCCGAATATGTCTTAGCCTGCATATCTGAGTGTGTGGAGGATGAGTCAGGTTATGTGACACTTGTTTACTGGTCATGCTCTGCGTAGAACGATGTGCTCGTGACTTTTAGCTGATCGTATTTCTTTACGAATACGGCGTAATGGAATAATGCAAGACGGTGGGGATTGCACTAAGTGGACAGTTGCGGCGATTGCTGCAGGACACAAAAGCAGTACCCCGTCAGTACTACGTAAGGGAGGATGTTATCGAAAGAAGCTGTTGGAAATAAAGTCTCTCGACCGAGAGCCTTGGAGAGTTGATTAGACATATCGATCGCCGGTGATCGTCACGTGGGGCCCGTTGATTGGCTGCACTTCCTTGCCGGCGTTTGTCGACTCGACCGAGAGGGAGTTCCGCGCCATTTTCACGTGCCTTTCAAAGAGCGATGGCCGAATGGGGAGGCACTAGTGGGAGCGAGCGATGCACAGAGCCAATAGAAAGTGCGCCCTGGAATCGCGTCTTGCAAGCCACCCCAGCGATCGATAAATTGCGATTCCTGAAATCTTGACGCAGACAGAATATTTTGTCAGCCGGTGCGGGAGACGGCCGGATATCACCAGGCAGGAGGGTGCTGGGGAGCTGACTTCGCGTGCTATCAGGCCTGCGGCTAGACTTATATACGGTGGCTCGCCGCTCTGTTGGCGAATTGAAGATTGTCTTACTCGTACATCTTACATCTTCAGCTCCGGGGCTATACGTACCACACCGAAACATCGACCCGACAGCCACTACGGACCCCCTTTTCTCCACCGAAAGATAAATACACTGTCCGACTGCGCTCCTCCGACTATCTGTCTCACCCTCAAGAATTTTCCTCGACTCCCTGCGCACCGTACCTGAGACTGGATTAGCGACCCATTCTTGACCGGTACCATGTCTGGACACACCGTTGTTATCATTGGCGCCTCCTTCGGTGGCCTGGCTGTTGCGCACGGTCTCCTGAAGAATGTCTTCCCCCAATTGCCCAGCGGGAAAGGGTCGTACAAAGTTGTGCAGATTGCCCCCAACGAAGAGTTCTTCTGGAAGATCGGGGCTCCTAGGGTGATCGGAAACGCGAAGTCGCTGCCCCTCGAGAAAGCCCTGATCCCAATCGCCCCCGGCTTCAAAGCGTACCCGAAAGGACAATACCAATTCATCAAAGCGTACGCCACCTCGATTGATCCTTCGACCAAGACCGTCCAGACCAGTACCAATGACTCCATCCACTATGACTCTCTTGTCATTGCGTCCGGCACAACGTTCTCCTCTCATCTGTGGACCGTCACAGATGGCTCCGAGCCCCTCAAGCAAGCCGTCCACGAGATCCACCAGAAACTGCCCAACGCAAAGACCATTCTGATCGCCGGTGGTGGCGCGGCCGGCGTCGAGACAGCCGGTGAGCTGGGCGAGGTCTACGGGAACAAGAAGGACATCACACTGTTGTCGGGCTCCACAGGCCTGCTCACGAGACTCCATAACAAGAAGATGGGTGTCGATGCGCAACACAGGCTCGAGAAGATGGGAGTCAAGGTCATCCACAACAGCCTGCGCGTCACCGAGCACACCACTGAGAATGGCAAGGAGGTTCTGAAACTGAGCAACGGGGAGACGAAAACTGTCGACATCTACATCGAGGCCACGGGTGACAAACCCAACACCAAATTCGTGCCTCAGGAGTGGCTCGACGACAAGCAGAGGGTCAAGACGGATCCTCACACTCTCCGTCTGGACGTGCGAGGTGTCACTGGCGTCTATGTCATTGGCACGGTCGGCAGCTACTCAGATGGCTCTGTCGTCGACGTCAAATTTGCGACACCAGCCATCTTGGAGAGTATCAAGTTAGATCTGCAAGGCAAAGGTATGATGCGCCCAAATTGACATTGCGGTAACCGTGGCTAACCCAACCGCAGGCGGTCCGCGTACCAACAAGATCTACAAGAAGATCCAAAGCGACATGCAGTTCGTTCCCATCGGCTCTCAGGGTGGCGTTGGCATCGCCTTTGGCTGGAAGCTGCCCAGTTTCCTGGTCAAGATGGCCAAGAGCAAGGACTTCATGATTGGCAATGCCGTCAAGACCGTGGAGGGCACAGCGTAAGGCTTCACGCCGCTGTCGGAATTGTCGGAAGATTTTGTTTGGCGCTTCTGTTCTTGAGATACCCGGTCTTCATCAGCACCCGCGCGACAGGAAAACAGCCTGAGCTGGAAATGGAATTGCATACATAGATATAGCGAGCATAGTAATTACATCAATTGACAGGGCTTCTCTCGGGAAAACAAGGAGCGTGACCGTGCGAGGCATGTTCCACGTCGGAACATGTCGGGGCGCCGGTGAGCTCGATCCGGTCTTTCGGAAGCCACACTTGGTCACTGTCGCCCGCCAATGAAACGTGTCGACAACATTTTCCCCGACCAATTGCTTCCTCTGATGTATTATTCCTTTCGCCCCGAGAGGCATTCGAATAGTAGCTCTCTGTGTTCCCTTGCTTGAGGAGAGGTAATATAGTCCAGACTCCTGTCTGACTCGGTAGCGTCTACACTATCCAGTTCACAAACGGAGCACCATGTTGGGACGGGCTTCGGTCGCTGGGAAGGCCGCAGCGTCTTCATCCAAGCTCTTGACTCGTACAGCAGTGCGGAGTAGTTGTTTGAAAGCTCCTTCGTCACGAACATTCTCTTCCTGCCCCTCCCAGACCGCACGAAGGACCAGCTCAATACCACTCCGAGCTGCGTCGAAGCCAAATCGAGCGTTCAGCAGCACCGCAACCATGGCCGCTTCCACACGAACAGAGACGGATGCGTTCGGGCCTATCGAGGTCCCCTCAGACAAGTACTGGGGTGCGCAGACGCAAAGATCACTGGGCAACTTCAAGATCAATCAGCCCCAAGATCGAATGCCGGAAGGCGTGGTTCGTGCGTTCGGGATTCTGAAAGGAGCTGCGGCGACGGTGAACATGAGATATGGCCTGGGTACGCTTTTAAACTGGTGCCTTTTGACCGGTTGCGGTGCTGACTTTGAGAGGTAGATCCCAAGGTTGGAGAGGCCATTCAGAAAGCTGCGGCTGAGGTAGCAGATCTCACCTTGATCGACCACTTCCCTCTCGTTGTCTGGCAGACCGGCTCCGGCACTCAGTCCAACATGAATGCCAACGAGGTCATTTCCAACCGTGCCATTGAGATCCTCGGCGGACAAATGGGCAGCAAGAAGCCTGTCCACCCGAACGACCACGTCAACATGTCTGCCAGTTCCAACGATTCCTTTCCTACGGTTATGCATATTGCTGCTGTTCTCGACTTCGAGCAGAGACTCATTCCGGCCGTGACAAACTTGAGGGACGCTTTGCAAAAGAAGGTGGAAGCATTTGACAAGATTATCAAAATCGGCCGAACGCATTTGCAGGACGCCACGCCTCTGACACTCGGTCAAGAGTTCAGTGGCTACGTTGCTCAGCTGGACCGGAACCTGGAAAGAATACAGTCCAACCTTCCACATCTGCGGCAACTGGCTCAAGGTGGTACCGCTGTTGGCACCGGCTTGAACACATTCAAGGGCTTCGCTGAGGGCATTGCCGAAGAGGTGACCAAGCTGACAGGCACCAAGTTTGTGACGGCTCCCAACAAGTTCGAGGTTCTGGCCGCCCATGACAGCATTGTCGAGGCCTCCGGCACATTGAATACTCTGGCGGTCAGTCTCTTTAAGATCGCCAACGACATTCGATACCTCGGATCCGGTCCTCGTTGTGGACTCGGTGAATTGATCCTCCCCGAGAACGAGCCTGGCAGCAGTATCATGCCTGGTAAGGTCAATCCCACGCAATGCGAGGCCATGACTATGGTCGCGGCTCAAGTCATGGGTAACCACACCGCGGCTACCGTTGGTGGCTTGAGCGGTCAGTTCGAGTTGAATGTCTTCAAACCCCTCATGATCAGAAACCTGCTTCACAGCACCAGGATTCTGTCAGATGCAATGAATGGTTTTGTCGAGCACTTGGTCGAAGGTCTGCAGGCCGATGAGAAGCGAATCAGCACTCTTCTGCACGAAAGGTAAGCATCACGTCCTTTGAGTCATCTGGACCGTATTGAATTTTCATCTAGTCTCATGCTCGTCACCTGCCTGAACCCTGTCATCGGCTATGACATGGCATCCAAGGTCGCAAAGAATGCTCACAAGAAAGGATTAACTTTGAAGGAGTCAGCAATGGAGCTGAAGGCGCTGTCCGAGGAGGATTTTGACAAATATGTCCGGCCCGAACTCATGCTTGCACCGTCTGAGAAGAAGTGACAAGGCATTCTGGTGGACGGGAACTGGTATAGTCACTGATCCATGCGAGATCGTCACCTTGGAACAGTCTGGTGGTCGTGACTCATGCTTTGTACAGTCACTACAGCCGGGGTCCTACTCGTCGAGGTCCGCCTAGACTGAAAGAAATGTACAGTATTCGAACCCCTGTCTCGAAACATCGTCACACCATATCAGATTCACGGCGCTCGGAGTCAGTACATCTGCAATGACACCTATGTGACTCTTTGTATGTAGGGCCCCTCTCAACACACCGGCGGTCTACCTTCTTGCCTCTGGACTATACAAGTACCCCTTTCCTACATTTCTGTACCCTTGAATTTCCGCAGCAAGCAAGCATTGTCTATTTTCTTGTTCAGAGCACCCGTCCTGCCCTTCTCCTGTTACGCTTTCCTCCACTTGTAGCGTGACTCTACCCTATCACTCTGCAGAGATCACATACATATATATATACCCGAGCGATGTGGAATTGATGGTGAGAAC